TAGTTGGCTTAAAACTACAAAAGAAACTCTTGCCAACGTCCTTCGCGAGTTTAATGCAGAAGCAAGAAAGAGAGACGGCGAATTTATATTGCTCCTGAAAGATAAAATGAAGTGAATGATAAAACAATTATTGAACTCGGTTCTCGCAAAATATCGTGATTTGTCGGTGGCTCGCAGATCAATTATTTGCCTCTGCCTTCGGCATCGGCAAATAATTGATCTGCTCGCCACCGACAAATCACGATATTTTGCTCAACCTCGTCCAATAATTGATAATTATGTTGCTAGTTACCAGTTCTCCGGAGGTGGCTGTGCGTTAAGAATCGTTTATTGGCATTCTTTCAACAGAAAAGCGTTGTATGAATATCAAAATTAATATTAAGGAAAGAGAATCCAAAGAGTAGAAAGTAAACTCAAAATAGTTGTTTTAAATTGTTCTTTAGTAGCCCATTGATAAGCAACTAAGCTTTCAAAATGTTTCCTAAATCAAACCAAATACTTTCGGATGTTAAAGATAACATCAGAATGATAAAGATGACGTCAGAATGAAATTTTAAAGGCCCGTTTACACGGGCGATTTTTGCTGCGATTTTAGGGCGATTTCCTTCTTCTGATGGATGTGAAGGAGTGGATGAGTTATAAATGTTCCAGGTTGTGAAATTTCATAACAACGTCATTAAGTAATCTACTCCTTCATATCCTCCAAAAGGAGAAAATCGCAACTAAAATCGCAGCAAAAATCGCCCGTGTAAACGGGCCTTAACGTCAGAATGTGAAAGTTGACCGATTATTTTCAGATTATCATGCAATATTTGTCTGATTACCGGTTATTTCAAAATGGCCATTAGGCTTCATCTCTAGAGTATATTCAACGTCCACAATTTAAATGAATATGTACCATTATATAGGAGTTAAAAGATTTTCAAATAGCTTTTTACTATAATATGTAAAAATGTTAAAATGCGTTTCTGTGTTGTGTGAATTAAAATGAACACTTGATATCGCCTGTCCAAGTTAAACGTGGTAAATTTTTTACGTCTATTACATAACTCATAAGTGCGGCCGTTCAATTGGTATTCGAAAATACTGATTGAACGAAATGTGCCGCCAAACTGAGATGTACGCCAGAGCTTCGCAACTAAACTAACTTCGAAAATACTGGGATACATTACAAGTGAAATTAACTTTATAACCATACATATATTGATTTATAATCTTTAATCTTTAATCCTTCTAGAGTTTCACATTAAATAGTAAATAGTAAATAGTAAATACTAATTTACAATGTGAATTACATTTAAACTGTATAAAAAAAAATTAACTAAGACTAATGTTAAGAGTCAATATTTACAAGTAGTCGCGATATTTGTGACGGAACTGACGTCTTCAAAGTCGTGCTGGACATGAGGCAGGTTTTGCTGCGATCTTCTTTTGATGGATGTGAAAGAGTGGATGAGTTATGAGTGTTCAGATAAGGCTACATACAGCTATTTCATTTATTTATTTATTGTTATTTTTTTAAATATTTATTTAAGGTTGTCCCCGAGTAAAGCGGAAAAGCCGAATACGAGCGCAAACGGCTGCTGGTAATCGCTAAAATATTCATTAATTTATTTGCGATTCCCAGCAAGCCTTTCGCGCTCGTATTCGACTTTTCCGCTTAGTGCTCGGGTACAACAATTGAAATAGCTGTATACTCAGAACATTCACAACTCATCTACTCTTTCACATTCAGCAGAGGAGAATCGCACCTAAAATCGCAACAAAAATTGCAAGTGTAAAACGCACCTGCTAAATAGCGGTATTCTCGAACAACCGAGAAACGTGACACTTTACGTAATTGGCATTGCTCAACTAATATAATCATACTTACTCTTCCATGATAATTTGTTTCTTGAGCATACCAAATAATTATATGTATTCGTTTGTTTAGAATGAAATGCCAAAGCTAATTCCTGATAACTATAGGAATATTCTCGACTGCTATATATAACTAACATACAGTTATGCATGGGTTATCATGCATTTACGATACAGTGTATGTTGGTTGAAGGACTAAACTACTTAAAAAATATAGATAAATGCTCGATGTTTCGAGTGCAATGCCCTTTTCTGAAAACACTCCCCCCCCCCCGCTCAAACCAAATAATCAACCAAATAGGAAAAAAGTCCGAGGTATACGGGGGAGCAACGAAAGCAAAATTTTCCCCTGACTAATATAATTGCCGCAATTATTTGCATATAATTAGCCATCAAGATCAAGAAGCTCATATAGTTGGCATGTAATTATGCGAGAATAAGAACTGTTTTGAAATCCACTTCTGTTGTACTTTGGAAGTATCCTTTTGCCTGCTTAACATAAAAAAATATTGTACTATCACAACAAATTTTTAATCGCGTCGGAAATATACTTAGTCCTATGTGGAGGAAATGCAAGGATAACAGTGAAGTCTAACTTCATAAATTGTAAGTATAACTAATTCAGTTAGTAATTGAAAATATTTTCCCCATTTTCGCTGCTCAGCAAGCTTCTCTTTAGGAAACTATTTCTTCGTATTTATACCATAGTACACCGCATTTCTAGTGCATATTTTTCCAGTATATAACATAATGTTTATTATACGTGGTTTCGTTCATGATTAACTTCTCATGCGTTTCAATAACAACACGCAGCATTTGGTATATTATATACGCACTCTAGACTATAATCATGACTAATTTCAACACAACTTTAATTAATATTTTATGAAATTACAGTTATAATAAAGAATACTATTGCAACACGAGGCTCAGCCCTGTGCCGATCGATAAATTGACTGTCCTAATATTTACTATTTGCACCAATACATTTACTTGTCTAGTGCTTTAGCGCCTTGACGCCGGCTTAATTATTTATGAAGCTTATAGTTATACAACAGCGGGCAGGAATTGTACCGCAAAAATAAAGTTGTTTAGAAACTATATTACAATTGCCTGGATTGACACACTGCAGTGTGTATAACAAGTTTTATGTCTATTTAAACTTATTTTAAATAATTTGACAAATGTTTGATTAAATTCAGCATGCTAACCACTTGAAAATATGAGACTTCGAGTCTTCGACTGTTAGAGCGGAGGTTCTCGTTGTCGACAGCGGCGACAAAATTCCAGACGAAGGAAACTTGGAGACAAAGGAACAGTTTGATGGAAACGTCGATCCAGGGTTTATTTTAACGTGCAGTTCTACACAAAATGTGCAGTTCTAAACCCATTTTTGTAGTTCTTAAAACTCAAATGTGCAGTCACCAAATTAACAAAAATATAAGTTAACCTCAAAACAGTCTTCTCATGATTCCCAGTTACATGTTTTGAAACAGTTTTTGTGGGTAGTTGGGTGAAGCAAATCTTTGCCAGAACTTACGAGCCTCTAAATTCAAAATTTGGGGGATACCCCCTACCTGTAGCCCCTCACCCAGAATCGAGTTTGTCTGGCTTCACCCAACCACACCTTTATTCTGCCACCTATATACAAATTAAGAGTCTATCATAATTTACAGCGGTAACTATAAATTTACAACGTTAAATAAAGATAAAAATCCTTTGACCCCCCAAACACGTGATTCTTCGTAACATCCTTAATATGTGCAGTTCTAAATTTTTCTTAAAATAAACCCTGCGTCGATCAGTCTTTCAGACGTTTTCAGGTAGTTGCCAATCCTTCAACCACTATGGAGAATGGAACCTTACATTTGAGACTCAATCTATAGTTATCGCAAGTTGTTACTGTTGTGTAAGAAAAAATTTAATCGAGCCTGTAGCTACAAATTATATAAACTACATGTACATGTCTTTCCGTCAGTGCGCTCTTCGTATACTGCATACATAATTATTACTAATATGCAATACTAACAGTTACTAACTGTGAAAGCCTCTGATAATTATGTTTATACAACTAACTGATCTAAATTCTTAACAATAGACGCAACACACCACAAACATATAGCAAATTATTGCAAATCAAGTTAAATCAATCCATGTTAAAAAATGGGAATAGACTGAAATCCCTAGCACTGATTTATGACAGCAGTTTATCAATTATCAGACTCGTTCCCAGGCATAGGCATATACGGGCTGAAAAAATTTAGGGTGGCGGACAAGAATATGCGCAAAGTTTATAAATTTACCCGACCAATACAAAACCTATTTTTCGTTGTAAATTTACAATTTTAATATTTTGCATTGATATTTTGTTTTCAGACATTTGTTTAATTTCTTCCTAATTATTTAGACGATTTTAATACGCATCAACCATCATTCACCCCGACTTTTAAGTAGTACTATGTAATTTTTATTTGCCTTCTGCCCGATTTTTAAGTACAATCTGCCCGACTTTTCAGTACAAACTGCCCAGCCAAAATATTTTCCCCTCTCCTGGGCTATGTTCCCGGGTTGTCTCCAGGAGCTATGTCTATTTGCTCGGTTCTGTAAGGCAAATGTGGAAAGGGTGCCTATATGATATATACTATATATAGTATACATGCGTACTCTTTACGTAATTACCAAATTAAAGGCTAAATTAAAGTTTTGTTTTTTCTGAATTGAAAATAAAAAACTTTCGTTGGTAGGGATGCAATAAGCTTCGGATTATTACATGAGTTATTTTGTAATTTTCCCGATCCCCGCCACTAACTTCCCGCAGGGGCGTAGCAAAGGGGGGGCAAGGGGGGCTCTTCCCCCCATGGACAAAAGGACTGCCCTTGTGAAAAGCTGAAATCCGGGCAGAAGGGAGGGGGGGGGTACGATGTGTGAATAATGATTCACATCTCTTCTGTTTGCCAACAAAAGTTGTAGTCTTCCCTATCTAGAATCCTAACTCCAGAAAAATATGCCTATGGTGGTTGAAAGCACATTTGAACTTTAATTTGCGCGCATATAGCAGCAGTCAAAGTTCAAAGTTCATTCTTTTTATTGCAATAAAATTTCCACTTCAAAATCGAGGACATCGTGCTATTTTGCTGTTGTATTTGTATGTACAGTACAATGTTTTACAAAAATACTTTTTCGATCTAACAACTTTAGGAGACTTAAAAATGGCTTTTTGTCGTAGTAACTTTTCTTCAAACCTCGTCCCAAAATGCGTGAAATAGCGTTCTAATGAGTCTAAAAATTCAAAATTTTTCCGAGCGAGCTTGTCCCAGGACCTCCTAAATTCCTCGCGCCTTTGGCGCTCCCATTTCAAATGCCATAAAAGATCCCCCGCAAAGTTTAGAACCTGACTACGCCAACGACTTCCCGTCGAAGAGCCTTCGCTCGAAACGTCGAATTTCTCCTTGTATTTTCAGCTGAGTTGCATCCCCATACCAACGAAAATTTTGTTATCCTTGATAACGTAAAACGGTTGATTTGTTGTTTAACAGTATATCCTATCAAACTGTCTAGATAGGGTCGATAACATAGACATAACAACACGCTTTTGAGTCAATTTAACAGTTAATGTTGAGTCAATTTTTTATTCACTACATGCATAAATACAATGTAAAAAGTGGGTCATGCTAGTTTTAATTTTAATGTAATACTTTATATTTTGAAACAAAATTTCACTGACAACATGGTTGACTGACTACAACCGGAATCTATTCGGAAATAATTTAGTAACGAATTAGAATACAGGACTCTTTGTATATATACAATTTCAAATTTAGTTTGCCTTATAGGTCAAGAACATGCTTGAAACAGATGATATACTTCTTTCGGTTATTCTCTTGCTGCTAATTCTGATTCTTCTTTGGATATGTGGTGCAGCACTTCTGCGCAGGATGGGGATAGGTTGTCTTCACGTAGAACACCACAAGGAGGATGAGATACACAAAGAGATAATTAAAATGGATGATGAAGCTCCCATAGACTATTCCTTTGAAATTGTACAACCAGAAGTAAAGGAACAAACCAATGGAAATCCATTCAGTGATAATAAGTATATAATTTTTATCATAATTAAATGTCTTTGTTTTAGCCGTTTCCATACCTGACATTTTTATTCAGTTGCCTTAGCTTCGACTAAACAAAGCCGTAATTTAGTACGTTTGAATGTTAAGTGCCAGTGTAGCTAAGAATACAATATAATGGCTTTTGTATGAAATGCATTGGTTTTCTGAAAATAGAATAAACGTCGTTTGGAAGTGAGATCCGTGCGTCTGATCTAGCCGACAGTGTAAACAATCCTATGCATTAATCACGGTTAATAGATTAATTAATCAAAAGATCTTTAACTGAATTACAATAACTGAGCCAGAGGAAACTTTTGACTCTAGACATGCAAGGTATACGTATAGAATAGGTGTACTGACTTGTGTTTGAATTAATACTTGTCTTGTCGCAAAGTAAATATTTTTCTGACACGAATCCACAGGGCCGTGCCGACAAAGGGGTTAGAAATTGAAGTTCAAAAGATTGTTAAAACCGTATTCCTGACTCTCTTTTCGCCAATATTTTGTGTTCACCCCCCAAAGACATATCGGTCGGCACGTCCCTGCGAATCCGTCCGCGTCCCTGCGAATGGGTAGGCAATTTTATGCGGCGATCCTCCCGAAGATGGCTGTGAGACTCATTAGCGGAATAAGAGTATAACTCATTATCTATGTTAGTCAATGTTTATTCATAAATCATATCTGGTCCTTCACCGTCACGTGTGTATTGTATTTTTGTCCTTGAAACTAACCAATACCAATATTTTAGGAAAGTTACCTATCGGTGACTCGAACAATAGGAAATTTCTATTGGTGGATTTGGTAAAAATACAATACACATGTGATGGTGAAGGATCAGATTTACGAAAAAACGTTGAATAACATAAACTCCGTAAAAACACTCCAATTCTCCTGGTTAACCTGTTGCTAACCCGATTGGGTCAACTTAATATTCCTGGTTCAATTTCCTGGTTAATTTATCTCACCTGCTACCATAGTCTGGTTAACGTAACCAGGAATGGTTATATTTTACCATAGCCGGCTAGAATAACAATATAACCCATTACCTATATATAGAGAAGGCAATAAACACGGTTATAAGATATGCAGTGATGACGTCGACTCAGCTAGGGCGTCATGGCGGAGAAGAGGACTGGGACTAGGACGCCGTCTTAAATAAATAGATAGCTTAAAATTTACGGCGTCGAATATCTAGGACGGTAAGCGGAAGTAAATTGGCAATATATTTTGAGGTGTGCATGCGTATGTCTCAATTGCTCGTCCTCCACCAAACGTTGACAACCTCACAACAAGAGTTTTGTCGTCGTGGAAACAAGAGCATAAGGGGCCATTCACAAAGGATGTCCGGCCAAATGATGGATTTTCAGACCCCCCTCCCCCCTTGTCCGGCATTGCCGAATTAGTAACCCCCCCTCCCCCCGGACATCCGCCATGCCTCGCAAAAACTCATGCAACCTTGTATATATCAAGAGTAAAAAACGTTTTTTACTTTTAGAACTTTTTTATAACTGTAAATGTGAACACAAAAACATATAAATTACTAATTAAAACAAAATCTAGTGTTAACCGCATAGTCAAAATGCCAATTTCACAATGGGAAGGTCTGCTCAAAATAGAGGGAAAAAGAAATTTGTTTTTGAATTTTTTTTAAATTTCGGACATCCGGATTGCTAACCCCCCCTCCCCCCCTATGTCCGAGTTTGTCCTGATTTTCCAAAACCCCCCCCCCTCGGCTCGGACATCCTTTGTGAATGGCCCCTAACTAACGGTAATGAATTCACGTGTCTCTTTAAAATTCATGTTCAAAAAGATGTAAATATTTATAGTTTAAAGTCGTGAATTTTAAGTGGACGTTTATTTATCTAGGACGACCTCCTTGTCGCAATCCTCCACTCAAACCTGACGTCCTAGATGACGTCATAAAACTTACAATCTATTATATTATCTACAGTGGTGAGGAACCGTGGACGATGGAGAAAAGATTTCTGAATGTCATTATGAACAGTCATGTGGACAGTGCTGATGAAATGTCTTTTATCTATGATGTCCATAGCGAAACCGAGGTAATTATTGTTCATAATATTTCCAGTTGTGATGTTTGTAACATGAGTTGGATGAAACAGGCTGTTGTGACAACATTTTGAAGTAAAAAACTACCTGCTCTATCTACTGTATATGATATCGAGCACTCTATAGCATTTCGTCAGAAAAGAAAAAAGAAAAATTTTACGCTATAGAGCAAAAAAGAGAAAAAGGACTTGTTATTGATGATCCTTTTCACATAAGAAAGAAAATATGAAGCACATCTTTTAATTAAGAATTTTACCAAATTTTACTAAAAAATCTGATTAGTAAAACTGGCGAAATTTTATCAAAAGTAGAATATTTTACCAAATCTGGTCACATTGGGCGGCAATTGACGTCCATATACTAGTCCTTTCTATTGCCGTTTAAATTTGTCTCCGCGGTGTATGACAGGCTGCAAGGAGTGTGCCAAAATAGTGTGATTTGTGACTTCTATTTCAAAGATACGGTCTATAGCGATTATATAGCTGGGGAGAAATGGTATTTAAACTATCTATGACCTTCATAGATTTTGGCCGGATCGGCGTCAACAGTTCCGCTAAAATTCTAGATCTACATAGCGCTCACTGGGTCAAACATTCACAAACACTAAACCATGCTATTTTACATGTAGAATGGTAATTTCTATGGTATGAATCATAATTATCCCAGTTATTGCTGGAAATAATTTAATTTCTGTAATTATATTTTCAAGACTGATCAGCAAAGAAAAACGAAAGCTATCACCTCGCGTTTTGCGAAGTACTTGGACAACGTACCTGGCAGTGACCCAGTGATATTGCTATCACTACATTATATCAGAGACGAGGAAAATCTTGTGTTGGCCATTATAAAAGTCGCGAATCTAAAGCCTCTTTTTAATAATAAAATGCCAGGTAATGTGCATGCGTTTTGGTTAGGGACTTTGCCTAAGCCCTATAGCCTTTGCCATAGCCTCTGCCGGCTATGTATGCTACAGTGCAGGTTTTCTCCGGATTTTCCCAAGGAAGCGGACGAGGGTGGGTGGGGTGGGGTGGGGTGGGGTGGTGGTGGGTGTGCATTTCGCTTAAAGTTCCTTCGTGACTACTAAACCTTTACATAAATTCTCTCTAATTAGCGCCCATCTTCTATTAAGTATCCCTTTTTTGAACGAGGATAGTATTAAGCCCTCTTCTGTTAATCGCCTTCTCCGGCCTTCTCTCATGCAAAATATATGTAACTATAAGTTCAGTCCCGTCACAAATATACATTATATACTCCTGTACTTTCAAACGTACAAGAAATAGAGAGTTTCTTAATTAATAGAGGATTTGTGATATTTATGTTGGGAAAAACAATAAAAAACCCTTAAATTATTCCTTAAACCGCGTACCTGACCCCGAGGGGCGGATCCTCCGATGCAAAATCCTGATGAAACCCCTATAAGAATTGCTCTCGCGGTTGTATGAGAGCTACACTTCCTATAGGCCAGATCTCGCTGTTAACTACAGGTGATCTCACCTATAGTATTTTTAATTTTCCATCGAAATACAACAGGTCCCTAATGGGACTGAGGCAACTCTCCGTATCTGTGTCAAACATTTTTTTGTTCAAATATTGAGTAGCGTCATCCTTAGAAAACAGTAGAATTGCCCTTTTTAAAAAATAGAACAAACCTCATGAGGCGAGAGACTGCTGTCAATTGTTTAGTCATGTTATATTGGCTATCTGAATGGCTAGGGGTGTTCAAGGGCATGTTTGCCTGGAAAAGGTCGAATTTTAAACGTCCAGAATGGCCATTTCGTTAGGATATACACGTCTAGGACAATATTCAATTGTTTATACAAAAATGTGCTAGGCGAAATATCCATGATTTACGTACGGAAGCGATTTCATAAATGGTTGGCATGCCAGCAAGAGGGTTGGTTTTTCTAATGTTCACGTACACACGAGTTGAAAAGCAGCCCGATCAGGCAAAGCTAACCCTCCATGTAAACATCCCTGGAAACTGCATTTTCTACACACTGTTCGTATGTCTACTTACTAGAAATACATGCATGCAGAAACTTCTCGCCTTGTTAGCAAATTAATCTACTAGTCCAAACATTAAGTAGTTGTCATGGTAACACAATCACTTCATTCTTTTATATATTTTTATTTAAAAAACGGCCGGAAATTATCACTTTTCATTATTTTGCAAAATTATCAATTTACCAAATATATATACGTTTTGCAAAACATTTTAAAATGTTTATAAAACTGAACTACCTTTTATCGATAAACTTTGAGTTTCATATAACAACGATTAATGCAGTTCTCTCATGAAAATAACTTTGCTTTACCCTCTATTTAAAGATTCTTAATAATCTAAATTAATAAAAAAATGATGGAAAAAAGCACTGAATACGTTGTATTTTTTATTATACGCTACCTGATTAGTTTTTTAAAGCAAACAATACATCAATCGTGAAAGCAAACTTACCTTTAAAGGTTTTAAGATTTCCAGCAATCTATTGCCCTGATTTTGTATGAAGCAAAACAAATAAACTGTTTGGCTACTGCTCGTCCCATTAAACAATTATTCGGATTTCTCGCTGATGTTATCAAATCCCACTCAATCATTCCACTGTTCACTCCTGAAATTCTCCATACATTTGAGATCAGTTGGAGGTTCACTAATGAAACGTAGTGACGCGCCCGCGATCATTGATGAAATTTAGACTTCGCTAAAGGCCGATTTACACTACACAACTTTTGCCTAAAACTGTCGCATTCAACCTGTTAATCAAGCACACAACTCACTCACGTAGGTAAATTGTGTGCTTGATTTACATAGTACAACTCAAGTTGTAAGTAGGTTCGTTGCCTTGCGACAGTTAAGTCTAGTTTCCATTTGGTCGTTAGTTGTCGCTGGCACGACAAGTGGCTGATTTAATAGAGTGTCAACAAAACTTTATAAAACTCTGCAATCATTAAGACTGATTTGCATATAACACACAAAAGACTATTATTATATTAGACTATTTCACATCTACCGCTTGTCGTGCCAGCGACAACTATAACGACCAAATGGAAACTAGGCTTAAGGCAAACGTTGCAGGGTTGCAAATAAATATTTAACTTGACAGGACATTTGTCCGATCACTTTTAATTTTGGTCCGACGTAACTTGAATTTGGTCGGACGACAAAAACCAACATCACTAAATTTGGTCGGCCATATATAAGTCGTATACCGATTCGGCGCAACGTTAAGTAAAATTAAATGCTAGAATGCCTCGTAAATTTTATTGCAAAATGCAAATTGAGTGAATTTGCAATCGGATTTTGTCACAGCAAAAAAATGTATAATGTGACAATTATTTTTTGTGATCGGACCAATGTCCGATCAAAATTACTTTTGTTCGGACATTTGGCAAACTTAGTTGGACATTGTCCGATGTCCGACAGTAATTTGCAGCCCTGCGTTGTGTAGTGTAATTAAATCGGCCTTAATGCTTTCTTTTTTCCCGGGTGTAAATAGCCGAGCGGAATTAGTACCCTCGCTCCGGGCTTACGACCGAAACGGCGCTTCGGCCCAGATTATTTTTCACATTATTTTTATCAGTTCGTGGGTGGATAGAAGAGGGACTGGCAGAGAGGGGGAATGTGCCCCCAGTGAGCGTTTATATGTTAAAAGCGTCACGGGTACCATGTCAGGGAAACTTTAAATAAATGTTGTCAGTCATAGCAACTCAAAATAACATTTGAAGAATTATAGTGGTCTCCACAATGCACCCATGCATTGGTTGCTATTTGGATATGTGGACATCCAACATGGAGAGCGGCCTCATAAATGGGGCAGTATTTATTGATCTACGCAAAGCTTTCGACATGGTAGATACAGATTTGTTATTACGAAAACTTGCAGTTTACAAATGTGATGATTTGACATTAACCTGGTTTAAGTCATACCTGCAAGAAAGAGACCAATGTGTGCAATTTAAAGGAACTTTGTCATCTAAGAAATCTTCTCTGTATGGTATCTCCCAAGGAAGTATTCTAGGACCTTTATTGTTTATAATGTTTATCAATGATCTTCCACTATATGCCAATTCCAACACAGACATGTATGCTGATGATTCGACAATCCATACAAGTGCTAGAACAGTTGAGGAACTCAATAATAAATTAACTGAGGATATGACAAACGTTCAAGCTTGGTGTACTAACAACAACATGGTAATAAATGACGGTAAAACGAAGGCAATGATGATAACAACATCTCAGCGCGCAGCCACATTAAATTCAAATCTACGAGTAGAATTTAACGGTGTCCAGTTAAAGAATACCAACAGTGAGAAAATACTTGGGGTTGTTATGAATGAACATCTTTCTTGGAAACAGGAGATTGACAAAGTAGCAAAATCTTTAATTAAAGGAATTCATCTTCTGAGACAGATCAAAGAGTATTTGCCTATTGGTCACCGAGTAATTTACTACAAGTGTTTCTTACAACCTCACATAGATTATTGCCGTACAGTTTGGGGACAATCATGTCATATTATTCGCATACATAAACTCCAAAAGTTAGCTCTGAGAATTATATACGACAAACCGAAGCTAACCTCTTCTGGGCCACTATTTAAAGCTGCTGGAGTCCTGCCTATACAGCAAAGAGTAATGCTACGAACAGCAATAATGGTATATAAATCATTAAACAACTGGGTACCCAAGTACATAAGGGACTTGTTTGTCTTAAAGTCATCAGTGACAAAACGAATTACAAGAAGCTCAGAGAACAACGAACTGTGGATACCGCGAACGAAACTAACAATTAGGCAGAAAACGTTGAAATTCAGTGGTGCAACATTATATAACAGTTTACCACGTGCGACAAGACAATCAACGTCATTAAGCTACTTTAAAATAAGAGCCTATAAATACTTTTTAGATACTTATATATAAGTTATTTGTTTGTACGACTTTTATATGTGCTTGTTGTACTGATGTCCAATTTAATGTGTAGTTTTAATAGTAAATTTGTAATAAGTAGACGATAACAGTTGAACAGAAGGCCCAATGTAAGATTAGCGTTGCTA